AATGACCATCACTTAAAAAAATATGATTCTGTAATTTGGGAGTTGTAGTTGCTGGGATTTATAGTTCACCTACAATCAAAGGGCATTCTGAACTCCAGTAACAATGGAATTGAACCAAATTTGGCACACAGGACTTCCAAGCCAACAGAAAACACTAGAAGGTTTTGGTGGGCATTGACCTTGAGTTTGAGAGTTGTAGTTCACCTACATCCAGAGAGCACTTTGGACTCAAACAATGATGGATCTGGACCAAACTGGGCATGAATATTCCATATGCCCAAATATAAACACAGATGGAGTTTGAGGGAAATAGACCCTGATATTTGAGAGTTGTAGTTACTGAGATTTATAGTTCACCTACAATCAAAGAGCATGCTGAATCTCGCCAACGACAGAATTGGGCAAACTTCCCACACAGAACCCCCATGACCAACAGAAAATACTTAAGGCCATCAAGTCCAACTCCCTTCACCAGAGCAAGAAAATGTAATCAAAGTTCTCTTGACAAAGAGCCATCCAGCCATAGATATAGATATAGATATTCACACACAGAGATATAGTATCATAGATTTGAAAGGGAACTATAAAGAAGAACAATTGTATGTTGCATGTTCCAGAGTAGGCAAATCAGACAATCTCCACATCAACACTGACAAAGAAACAGCAAGAAATACTGTTTACCCACAAGCATAAAGAAATTACATTAGAAAACAACACTTTCTCATTACTTTATTTTCCAGATCACCAGGCTGGGCCACAGCAATGCGTGGCAGGCGACGGCTAGTATTATATAATTTGCTTGTAAGAGTCTTCATAATTAAGAATGTTTCAATGATAATAGATGGGGGAAATAATTTACTCTCCCCTCAAGCTGGCAAAACTAATAACACCCTGGCTTCTCCTTTGCCTCGCACCTTAAAAACAGTTCTGGGGTCTCTGTCTGTTCGTGGAAGATGGAAATGGGATTCACTCTCCTGGAAGAAGTCATGGCTAACTGGAAGCCTGAAGGGAAGCATTCCACACTGCAATGTATCACTGCAGATCCCATAGCTATAAATAGCAGGGAATGTTAGTGATGTGGCTGGGTTCACTCAGCTCCTGTCCACTTCTCACCTCCCTGTCCCACTTATCCTCAGAATGTTTCTGTATGATCTCTCACTGTTTGATTACTGAGTCTGAAAGATTGGAAGCACTGTAGCATTATCCATCACGTTGGATGCAGACAGCATTCTGTGAATTAGAAGAACTGAATTCCATATCTTCTTGCGTGTTAGGAAGTTACACTATTTTCCCCCCTGTCAGATTGGAGAAGCTATGGCTTTCCAGATATTACAGTGCAACTAATCCATGGTCAGAATAAGATGACTGGGATTGATGGGAACTCAACAAAATATGGATCATGGATTCTCCACTCCTGTCACAGGAGCTGTATGAGTCACTCTCCCATTGAAGTGGTACAACATGGTAAGGAACAAGCTTTTGAGGAAAAAAAGAAAATATTCACAAAACAGCGTGAAACCAATTATCTGGGATTGTCATTGAATAATTTTGACAGCAACAAATACAGCAATTTAGGAAGGAGGACAGCAGACAATTCCTTACAGGAAGTGACAGGCTCTTTTCTTTGGAGAAAGCTTTCCTTGGATTTCTATGAAGGTGAGCAACAAACTGAAGACCGACAGGTCGCAGGTTCGAATCCAGGGAGAGCGCGGATGAGCTCCCTCTATCAGCTCCAGCTCCTCATGTGGGGACATGAGAGAAGCCTCCCACAAGGATGATAAAAACATCAAAACATCCGGGCGTCCCCTGGACAACGTCCTTGCAGACGGCCAATTTTCTCACACCAGAACTGACTTGCAGTTTCTCAAGTCGCTCCTGACACGACAAAAAAAGAAGCAACAAACAAATATTCATTATGTTAAACCTTTAATGATAACAGCCCTTCAAATGCCATTTGCTTTACTTTATTATTTATTTACTACTTATTCGTTACTTTATTTATTTACTTACTCGCTTTATTTATTTACTTTAGATTTGGCCGAATCTTGATTTGCTGAGAGAAGAGCCACAGCATTTCAGCAGCACTAAGAATGAGCAGTGTCTGCTTAGATTATTTTGCAGAGGAGTCATATTCTGGCACAATGCTTTGGTTTAGTTCAACTGAATAAGAAATGAAGCGACCATAATTCTTCAGTCATCCAAAGCCACAGGGCCCTTCCACACAGCCAAATAACCCAGAATATTATGGCAGAAAATCTCACAATATCTGCTTTGAACTAGGTTATCTGAGTCTACACTGCCATATATTCCAATTCAAAACAGAAAATGTGGGATTTTATTCAGCTGTGTGGAAGGGGCCACAATTAGGTTGTAGGAGAAATCCAAGGTGTTTTAAAACAGATTCACACAACTGTTGGCAAGGTCCAAGAGTATCCTTTTCTGTTAGCTTGAAGGCAGAACTAGTCTATACTTCACAGACTGCTTTTTGACAGACTGCATTTAGGTTAACTACATGGGAATGCATCCAAATGAGTGTCTTGAATTAATGCTCTGATTAATTGGGAGCAACACTACAAATCTAAGATTCATTCTTTGCATTTTATGTAATTGGGAATGTAATCAGTCAGGGATGACATTCCTTTAAACTGGCAAGAACAGTGTGTTTATTTATGGACCAGTGACCTTCTTATACATAAGAGCCCTTAGATGCTTCCTGATTGTTTCTTGATAAAGTTATACTTTCAGTCAAATAGCCTGGTAATTTAAAACGTTCAGAAATGACAGAGTCTTTAATAATAGACTTTCCTAGTACAGCATCTGAAGGGATTTAAGAAGGGTATGTGTAAAGAATGCAGGTTTTAAGCATTTTATCATAAAACTTTCAGGTTGTCAGTGTTATAGGTAGTTGAAATAAAAGACATAGAATTTAATTTCTTTTGCAAACCAGCTTTATTTAACAATATGTTGAACAAAGGAAAAAATGTCGAGGAATGACTTTCTAAAGACATACATTTAAAAATTAAATCATTACTCAACTTGTTTAACTTTTGCTCTCTGTACTTTGAACAACTTTTAGAGAGGTAGATATTCCATTTGTGAAGCATCTCTCAAAATGAAACAGGGAGGGGACAAGTATAGCTCAGGTGGAATTCATCCCTCTAGCAAAAGGTATGGAAAATGTAAACAGAGATACAAATGCTTTTGTCTGTATGTAAACCAACTTTCATTTGGCTTCAAGTTATTACATTATTGGTCAATTTTCAAAGTGAATGATAGCCAAGACAGATATTATCAGAAATTTGGATTTGATATGGCAGTATTGAAGGAACCTGAGGGCCCTTCCAGATAGGCTCTATATGCCAGGATCTGATCCCGGGTTTTCTACTGTACACTGGATTATATGAGTCTACACTGCCAAATAATATGGGATAAACAGAAAACCTGGGATTAGATCCTAGGATATTGGGCCTGACCCTGAGGGCCCTTCCACACAGCCATATAACCTAGAATATCAAGGCTTATAATCAACAATATCTGTTTTGAACTGGATTATCTTGAGTCCACACTGCCATATAATCCTGTTTAATATGGATTTTAAACAGCTGCATGGAAGGGGCCTGGAATAGGGTTCTTTTCTATTTGCTGTTCAGGGATGCACAGCAATGTTTACCTTGCCTCCTGCATTCTCAAACAACATCATTGAGCCCTGGCAGCTAAAAGTGGCACCAAAATTGCATCGTAGACGTACCCAAAGGTCTCTTCCACATAGCCATATAACCCAGACCATCAAGGCAGAAAATCCTACAATATCTGCTTTGAACTTGTCACCTGAGTCGACACTGCCATATATTCCAGTTCAAAGCAGATGTGGGATTTTATTTATCTTTGTGGAAGGGGCCTGAGTTTGATGTCAAAGTGCAGCCTGAACAGCTTTATAAATAGAAAGCCCCTGAGGGCCCTTCCACACAGCCATATCTCAGAATATCAAGGCAGGAAATCCCACAATATCTGCTTTGAACTGAGGGCCCATCCATACAGCCATATAACCCAGAATATCAAGGAAGGTAATCTGGGTGCAAAGATTACTGCAGACGCAGACTGCAGCCAGGAAATCAGGAGACGCTTACTTCTTGGGAGGAGAGCAATGACAAATCTTGATAAAATAGTGAAGAGTACAGACATCAGACTGGCAACAAAGATCAGCATAGTCAAAGCAATGATATTCCCTGTAGTCACCTACGGATGTGAGAGCTGGACCATAGGGAAGGCTGAGTGAAGGAAGATAGATGCTTTTGAGCTGTGGTGCTGGAGGAAAGTTCTGAGAGTGCCTTGGACTGCAAGAAGATCCAACCAGTCCATACTTCAAGAAATAAACCCCGACTGCTCATTGGAGGGAAGGATACTAGAGGCAAAGATGTACTTTGACCACAGATATTGTGGGATTTTCTGCCTTGATATTCTATGTTATATGACTGTGTGGAAGGGCCCCGAGTCCACATTGCCATATAACCCAGTCCAAATCGATATTGTGGGATTTTCTGCCTGGATATTCTGGGTTATATGACTGTGTGGAAGGGCCCCGAGTCCACATTGCCATATAACCCAGTTCAAAGCAGATCTTGTGGGATTTTCTGCCTTGATATTCTGTGTTATATGTCTATGTGGAAGGGCCCCAAGACGCAGAGGTCAATAAAGCGCAGCCTCCTTGGGGCTCATTCAACAGCGTCCCTCCCACGCCTCCCAAAATGGAGAATCCGCCTCTCCGCCTACTTCAAAAACACCGGAAGCCGCAGCTCCTGGGTCGCTCTAGCGCGGCGTTTCCGCAATCCGTAGTAGTCCAGAATTTCCGGACTCCCGCTCCCAGAATTCCTTCCCGGCAGCTAGCCTCGCCGAGGCTTCTGGGAGTTGAAGTCTGAAAAGGTGGAGGACTGAAAAGGTGGCGCTCTGGCCTTTTTTCCCCGGGAGGAAACGGAGGGGGCGGCTTTGGTGGGCCGCGCGTGCGCAGTGCGTGGCTTCCTGAGTGGTTGGCGGCAGCGGCCATTTTGTGGGTCTTTGGCTTGGCCCCCTCCCCCCTTTCCTTCCTCCTCTCCTTCCTCCCTTCCTTCCTTCTTTCCCCGGCCTCTCTCTCTCTCTGTGTCTCGGGCCTGGGGAGCCGGGCGCCTCCTCGGGCCCTTCCCCGCCGCGTGTGCGAGCCTCTCCCGCGGCCTTCCTCTGTGAGGGGCCCGGTCAGCCCTTCGCCGCCGCCGCCGCCATGGAAGACGACGGGCAGCCCAAGACACTGTGAGTGAGTGGGGTGGGGACCTGCTTGGTAATGGAGGAAGGAGGAGGGAAAGGGAGAGAGGCCTCCCCTGTGGAAGGAAGCCATTGAGGAGCTGGAACTGAGGGAGCCCTTTGACACCAGAGCAATGAAGCCGAAGAAGGGGAAGCAGATGAACCTTGGGTCAGGCTTTATTCTTTTTTAAACACCCACGTTGGACGGCAGGAAGGTGTCCAACGTGAACAGGAGGGCGTTCCTCCTCCGCCCCATTACCTCACTGCTCTACCTTGGCCTCCCACGCGAAGACACACGTGAACGGCGAGGCCCACAGAACGAGCAGCAGGGGACGTAGTTCAAAACGTAACAAAATGCCTTTATGTCCCACGCGAGTCTCTTCCGTGAGGAGGCCTCGCATTCCCACGGCTTGTATCCTGGCGCTGGGTAGAGTTGTACATGCGCTGCTGCCAGTCCAGCAGGGAGACTCCTGTCAGTCACCTTGATTGGCTGTATGGGCCATACTTGTAAGTGCTGGGGAATATAATAAAGCTGGAGAAGAGGATCTAATACAGGTTGAGCACCCCATATCCAGAATCCCCAAATATCATATAATAAAACTGGAGGGAGAGCAGGGAAGAAAGGGAGATACTATATGGATCTGATACAGTTTTAGCACCCCCTATCCAGAATTCCAAAATATTGTATAATACAACTAGCGGAAAACGGGAGAAGAAAGGGAGAGGCTATATGCATGTAATACAAGTTGAGCATCCCTTATCTGGAGTACCCAAATACCGTATAATAAAACTGAGCAGAGAAGAAAGGGAAATGCTATATGGATCTCATACAGGTTGAGCATCCCTTATCCAGAATCCCCAAATATTGTATAATAAAACTGGAGGGAGAACAGAGAAGAAAGGAAGATAGTTTATGGATTTGATACAGGTTGAGCATCCCTTAACCAGAATTCCAAGATATCGTATAATAAAACTAGAGGAAGAGGGGAGAAGAACGAGAGATACTATAAAGATCTAATACAGGTTGAGCATCCCTTATCTGGCGTACCCAAATATTGTGTAATAAAACCGAGCAGAGAATAACGGGAAGTACTATATGGAGCTCATACAGGTTGAGCACCCCTTATTTGGAACTCCCAAATACTGTGTAATAAAACTGAGCAGAGAATAACAGGAAATACCATATGGCGCTAATACAGGTTGAGCATCCCTTATCCAGAATTCCCAAATATCGTGTAATAAAACTGAGCAGAGAATAACTGGAAATACTATATGGAGCGAATACAGGTTGAGCATCCCTTATTCAGAATTCCCAAATACCGTATAATAAACTGAGCAGAGAAAAAAAGGGAAATACTATATGGAACTAATACAGGTTGAGCATCCCTTATCCGGAATTCCCAAATATCGTATAATAAAACTGAGCGGAGAAGAAAGGGAAATACTGTATGGATCTAGTACAGGTTGTGCATCCTTTATCCAGAATCCCCAAATATCGTATAATCAAACTGAGTAGAGAAGAAAGGGATATGCTATATGGATCTAATGCAGATTGAACATCCCTTACCTGAAGTCCCCAAATATCGTACTACTATTCTGCTCCTGAAGCAGCTACACTGGCTCCCAGTTTTATCCAGAATTCCAAAATGTCACATAATAAAACTGGAGGAAGCGAGAAAAAAGGAGATACTATATGGATCAAATACAGGTGGAGCATCCCTTATCTGGAATCCCCAAATATCGTATAATAAAACTGGAGGAAGAGGGGAGAAGAAAGGGAGATACTATTTGATTATAATACAGGTTGAGCATCCCTTATCTGGAATTTCAAAATACAGCGTTTTTAAAAATGATTGACCTAATTTCAAAGCAGTGTTTTTCACGATGGCAACAAGTTACAAATACACAAAAAATTGCAAACCGTTTAATGAGTTTTACTAACCACTCTGCTGAACTTGTTGGAAAAGATTAATCTGCGTACCATTTTGAGTCAGAGACAAATCTAAGAAAGAACTCTGTATATGGAGAATAGCTTACCATTTTTGACTGACTGAGGCTAAGAGTTGTTTGTACACTTAGAGAGGCTTCTAGAGGCAAGACCTTCATTCATGAGTGGTTCATGGTTGCAGAGACGTAGCAATTTCAGGTCTATCTTTTTGAAAAACTGGAGGAAGAACGGAGAAGAAATAGAGATCCCATATGGATCTAATACAGGTTGAGCATCTTTTTTCTGGAATTCTGAATTGCTCTAAAAGCATCCACTTGGGTAGCCACAGTAGTGAAACCTTTGCTTTCTGGTTGTTCGATGTACTAAAACTTTTCACAAAATCACAAAAACATATTTTATGAAATTACCATCAGGCATGTGTCCAATCTCTCAATTATCTCATTATGTATGTATATGCAAATATATAAACTGAATCAACCCCAAACACAATCCCAAACACATCTAGTCCTCCAGTATTTGGATAAAGGATACTCAACTTGTGCTGCAAAGAGACATCAGATGATGTATCTTAAATTAAAGATGAAAGATTATAGAGAATAAAATGGAATACTATAATATGCCAAAAATACTCTCAGCCTCAAAGGAAATGAAAGGCAAACCCACACTGAACAAATCATGCCAAGGAAACCCTGTGCTTTAGGGTTGTCGTAAGTTGGAAATGACTTGAAGACACATAATTTGAAATGATAGTGCAAGTATAGTGATGCAGAGTGGAGATAGTTGAATGAGGAGGAAATTTGAAAGCTGATTCTTCGGAAGGCATGGTCAAACAAGAGAAGTCAGAGATCTAAATGAGATAGGAAATATTTTGTTCAATAAAAGTAAAATGACACAGGGTTTTCTTCATTTGGGAAACTGAATGTGAACTGTATTCTTCCCATATGAATCCAGATAAAAACCTCTTTTTCCTCCTTCCTGCAGAAAAAAATGCATTTATGAACAAATTGATGCAATTGTTTCAGATTTCACTGTAAAAAAAAATCAATTTTTTCTAAGTTCTCATGTTCCGTTTCCCCTTTCTTTTTTATGAAAAAGAGATTTTTTTTGGGAGCACTGATATTGTTTCTTGTGTTAATTCACTGTGCTTCTGCCTAATACATATAACTAAAAAATTCTAACAAAGACTGATAAAGCAGTTGTTGCACAACTCTTTTTTACATTTTGAAGCAGTTGAGTGTTTTTAGCTACTTTGGGGGAAAATGAAGAAAAAGAATGAAGGCAATCAAAGCATGGAAATCAATAATATACATAACTTCCTTTTTGAGATAGAGATGTGATAATAGTGAATATGGTATGCTCATAAATATCTTTAGATGTGAGGATGCAGTTGCTTTAGAAAATACTTCATTTTAAAATCATACTGATTTTGGACATTTAATAGTTTTACCATCAAATTTTCAAACTTCCTACCTTGATGACTGGAAACAAAAATGTGGAAATTTGGAAATCTCATTTTTGTTGTGTATGGCTACCTTGGCCTGCATTTGGCAAAGCTGGATTCAAATGCATTCTGTAATTCAACGTTCTATAGGTTTAGTTTCACACAGGATGAGCTGAGAATGTAATCTTTTCTATGTTTTAAAATGATAATTCAGTTTCTATTTATGCTGTCGCACACTGGTCCTGTACATCAGACTGTAGACAGGACATAAATTCTGTGTGCCCAACGGGATGCCAGGGCTGCCTCAGATTAAAGGCCTTTGGATTTCCTTAAAACACAGAGTCTTTAGATTGCTTAAAGGTTCAACAATGTTCTTTATTAAGGAAAACAAACAGGTACTTTAAAGCTTTCTTAACAGTCTATAGGCTCTTTCAATCTTGTCCACAGGGAACAGGCACTATCTTCTTAACTGTAACTAATGGGGAAATCCTTAACTTCTAATCTGGGCAGTCTGTCTTTGCCTCTGTTGGCGTGGAGCCCCTACACCCGGTACCAACTGCTTCTGGCTTCCGCGAGTGACCCTTACCAAGCAGAGCTTTGTAGACTTCCAGGGAAAAAGAGTTCAGGTTTCGGTGATGGCTGGCTGAAGTCCCTCAGCAAAGGAGCTGTAAGGCTGTATGATCCTTGGCCAAGCTGTAGGCTGTATATCTCCCCGGCCAAGCCGTAGAAGACGAAGCTTTCTACAGGAGCTCTTGGTATTCATGTCCTGTATGGAAAGCTGCTCTGTGTGGACTGAACCAAAAAGGCTCCTATTCCCTCCAAAAACCCAAAAAGGGGGCAGGACCAGGGAACCTAACTATAATAGACAGGTGGCTTGCCCTATGATTGCAGCCAAAAGAAGCCACCTATCTGCAGAGTCCCTGAAACTTAGGACTATAACAATCATTAAATGCAAAGCAAACAAAATTGGAGCCCCTGGTGCAGTTGTACTTGCACACTATTGTTTATTCAGAATATTTTGGATGTCTTCCAATCCCTCTCCCATTCAACAAAATAATACAGTTTCTTTGGCCAACTTTATTTCTGCTTTGGTTGCATGTTTGGAAACAACTTACCCTAATTATTGTGGATCTTTATGCAATGACCCTAAGTGGCTCAATTGCCTGAATTCTGAATGTTAGTTTTTTGGCAAGCTAGAGAACCAGTGTCATGATTTGAGCAGTCAACTATGACTGGAGTTCAGAGCTTGGCCATGGAGACCTAGTGATTGCATGACATTTGGCAAATCACACCCAACCCCCACCCCCCGCCTCTTGCCATGAAAACTCCATGATAAGATTAATTTAGGGTTGCTATAAGTTGGAAATGACTTGAAGGCACAATACATCAACAAAGAAAAAGAATCACAGGCCCAAGGAAAGGAGGGTTGAGTGGGATGTAACTGGGATGCAGCTTGCATCCATCTGGCATACAATGGTAAATGGTTATTGTATGGTTGTATTTAAAAATGACCAGTTACTTTACTATTTCTACTCCTTGTCTTCAAGTTTTTTTAATAAATGAGAATTTAGGGAGTTTCAGCAGAATTGAATTTATTCAAAATGTTACTTTTGCTTTATAGTAC